CGTTTCGATGAAGTCTCATTCATCATCTTCAGGCTTCTGTCTCCGGCACTCTGAGAAGCACAGAGCCGGAGACAGAAGCCTGAAGATGATGAATGAGACTTCATCGAAACGTTGCCTAGATACTTTGAATCTTACGCGGGAGAAAACCCGAACAACCAAAGATCCACACACATATATATTCGTAGATTTCATAGTCTTTGCTCGCACAAGCATGAAGCCAAAAGCACCAGCCTGAAGATGGTGTGGGACCTTGTCGAAACGTGTGTGTGTGTGTCAACAACTGTACAGTCAATCCAAATTCCTACAGCAAATCTGAAAATGTCATATATTTAGTATTGCTTGTATAATTTCAATTAAAAATTAAAAATAAATATTATTGATACAAATGCACATTTAAAGACATTGAGAAAAATTAGCAAGGACTCCTCCTCACCAAGAAGCTATCAAGCAGCTACGCAGATGGATAACTAACAAGTCTAAAATAACCAGCAGATCTAAAATCTAAAATGGTGAATATATTCTAATATCTCTAGAGTGCCACAGTGGCAAAGTGGTTAGAATGCAGTACTACAGGCTACTGCTGCTGATTGCCAGCTGCCTGCAATTTGGCAGTTTGAATTTCACCAGGCTCAAGATTGTCTCAGCCTTCCCTCCTTCCGAGGTGGGTAAAAAGAGGAGCCAGATTGTTGGGGGCAATAGGCTGACTCTGTAAACTGCTTAGAGAGGGCTGTAAAGTCTAAGGTTATTGCTATATATTAAATAAATAAATTCTAGAATCCAAATTTGAGAAGTATTATAGCACATTTCCAGTTCTGACCTAGGCTTCACAAAATCACAAAGCAGACTCCTGGTCCTGACAAAAACCTCTTTTCTTTAGGCTAATGTGAATTCCTCTCATTCACATCCAGCAAAGTCCTGGCAAACAGTCTTTCACGAGTGATTTACAATCACAGATCTTATCAGGTTTGGAGAGTTGCCAGGCCGATAACTTCCAAGCACAAGTGAAAATACTTGGCAAGGAGTCAGGAACAAATCTAAATGAATGAACTAATTGTCTCCTGCAAAAAACACTCCCCTTTTGCTCCTCTTTATTCCCTATGGGAGGGGGGGCCATTCATTGTCCACCTGTGCCTTTACTCCCAAGTCGACCCTTGTTCCTCAACTGCTCCCTTCTTCTGGCATCTCTGCACATGCGCACATTGGAAACAGGCTCCAGCTGTTCTTCTGCCCCACTGATCTCTGCCTCTTAAAACAGCTGACAACTGTCAGACAGCCCTGGGCCCAACTCTGCCTCTGACACAGAGCACTTGTCAGAGCCTTCCCCAAACTCCAGGACTGGCCCATGTTCCTCCCCAACCTCCTCACTGTCCAAGTCTGCCACCAGCTCTGTTGGCGGGCCACAACATTTCCATGCATAAACTCATAGCACAGAAATGGTTTCCAAATAAGACTGAATAGTAACCTTTTAGATATCAAGTTATTCTAGGCATTGAAATATATCCAATAGTTTAATTACCATTCTGTACAGGGGATTAGATATTTTTTCTAATGAAAAGTGTATAAAATCCTTGCAGTTATCTTATACAATGCCATTTCAGTACTTTTTTGGGGAGGGAGGGAACCGATCACATAATTTAGAGCTGCATTCATTTTTCTGAAAAAGAGTGACCTAGATTGGATCTATGTTTTTAATCTTCTTTTATTCTCCCCAAGGTAAGCATAGATCTGGATAAGGAAATGACCATAATATTAGGGATGAACCTATTAATTTCCTAAAAGAGGCTTTATTGGGTTTACCTCAAAGTGGACTCAAAGGGTGCAATCTGGTATCAAGAGACTCAGTTGTTCTGCCCTTGTTGGACTCAAGTCCAAAGCCAACACAGTAATATCTAATTGAGTCCAATTCTTTATTTGCTTATACCTAACAGACTGGCTCTTGCCAGGCTAAAGTTATAACCATCTAACCTGCGTTCTTAGTTTTTGAATTTCTTCTTCTTTTTCATTTTACAATTGCTTCTAGCTTTAAAAAAATACTGCCACAGATGTTCCTCATTGTCTTTCATTCAGTTGCATTCCTATTCAAATTAATGGTATGCTTAATTAAATAAGTTTATCAGGTTAAATTGCAAAATACCTCTAGCTATCGGCGCATGATTTGTCTTCTAAATATTGCCTAATTGCACATCATTTAACAATGATGCAGCAATTTAAATATCACATCATGATTTACAACCCAATATAAGTTCTGTGTTACCATGAGAGAAGATCTAATTTTGGCTATTTATTGAGATGCCGTATCTTGAGGAATGATTATTCTATCTATGGATATCATTTAATTTATCAGACTGTTTTCTTGGTTTAGAACAGCTCTTATTTTACTTTCATTCACACAATTAGTCTCATTTTCTCAAAAGTGCCCATCTTAGAGGCACTGGTTGAAGACAGTTTTGTATGTTATAACTGTGGATTTTGGAGCTGTGTACAAGGTGAGAAGACAGGACTTCCAATCATCCATGGTTGGATAGGGCTGGTTCTAGGATTATGAAGGCTCTTAGTCATGGTAATTTAAGTTCCTACCCACAAGATGAAAAAAAGAATAGAAGGAATTAGAAAAGTGAAGTTTATCTTAGACTCTATGACAGGGGACCCAAAAGTTGGCAACTTTAAGGCTTGTGGACTTAGCTGGCTGGAGAATTCTGGGAATTGAAGTCCACAAGTCTTCAAATTGCCAAGTTTGGAGACCTCTGCTCTATGATCTTCTTGGATGCTGAAGGCTAGGTGGAAGTGATTCCACTGGCAGGCCAATGAGGTCTGCTGGCCTTTATGCCCAGGCAAATAGACAATATTTCCACTTTC